TAAATTAATTTACAACTTAAATAAAAAGCTATTCTATTTATATAAAATTAATTTGCTATAGTTAACTACTTACTATTAAAGTTTTAAATAGATCAGTTTAGACTGGTCAATAAAGTTATCTAATTGAGAGGATTAGATCAGGTTAAATAAAAATCTACCTGATTTTAATTTTCATTTAACTTGATCTAATCTGATCAAATTATTTAAGAAGAATAATTAACTATCTTTTAAGAAGAACAATAAAATATTATTCAAAAATAATAAAAATATTATTCTTAAATAATAAAAATATTGTTTAAGATGATAAAAATAACATTCTTGAATGATAAAAATATTTGTCTTTAAATAATAAAATATTATTTAAAAATGATAAAAATATCATTCAAAAATGATAAAATATAATTTATGAATAATAAAACATTATTTAAAAATGATTGGTTAATCTGAATTTTATCAGATTAATTAAGTCAGTCAATCTATTAACTTGATATTAACTTAAAAATCTACTGACTTAATCCAAATTTTCAGATCAGGTAAATAGATTGATCTGACCTAATTCAGAACTCTATTTATTATATTATAAATTAATTAGATATAGATATACAGTATATTCTAATAGAAATATATTTAAAAATTATATAAAAATGATAAAAAAAAATAAATTAAATTATAAACATTAAAAGAATTACAGATAAAAAGAATAAATAAAATAAAATAAGCTATATAAAAAATACAAGAAAAACAGACAAATAGATAAAATAGAAATTATTATTAATCATTATTTTATATAGTTGAGAGATTATCTAATGTAAGATTATTATTGATCAGCAAATTTTATGTAGTATTTAAAGTTGCAATTTCTTCTATTGATAATATAGTCATCACTGAATATAACGAACCTAATTATACTAAAAACTTATTATACTAAATTAAGTTTTACAGAACTAATTTTTTTATAATAAATTATATTGAATATAATAAAATTATTAAATAAATTATTATATATTGTATCTGAACTTATTTTGATTAGCCCAAATATATTAGATATATATTTAGTATACTAAGTTATCATATGACTTAATATGACTTAATAAATACGTCATCATTATTTGCATAATTATTTTTCCTATTTTCATTAGTCTGTTTTAGATAAATTTTTTAAAAGTTTTAATAATACTGATAAAAAGAAAATAAGTTAGTTTTACTGCTAAACAAAAGTGTGAAATTTGTAAAATTAAAAATAAGCTAATCCTCTAAAATGTAGAACTTGCATAATAATATAATGTTAAAAAATTTACAATTACTAATATTTTGAAAGAGAGTAAATATTAACTTATAGTTATAGAAAACTAAGAAAATACTAAAAAATTTTGTGAATTTAAATAGTATCAATTAAAAATACATTAGATTTATAAGTTGATAATGCATTTAATACAAAATAAGACATTAATAGTAATATCTTAAAAGTAAAGGTAAGTTATTTTGCTAAGCAGTTTTCCATAAAAGACTTCTATCATTCAGAAGGTTAGTTAGATAGTTTTAAGAAAAAGCATAGTTTGTATCAATTTAAATAATAAAATGAAGCTAAAAATATACTTTTAACTGAATCAATAGAAAGAAATCATTTTACTTTACAATAGTTTCTTGTATCTTATAATTCTAAAGATATTTAAAATAGTAATAAAACTGATTTATTTTAGAAGATGAAATCTTCTAGAGTTTTGATACATAATTCTCTATCAAGGCATAAAAAAGAAAATTCTCACATTACAATATTTTATATAACAAATGCAACTAGCAGTGAGAAAATGATACTAACATTTATTCATAAATATAAAACTTCTCATATCATAAAAATATTAATTACAAAATCTTTCAGTCTATTATTTTTAAAATAAAAAAACATAGATACAAGTTAGCATCTTTAATAAAATTCTTCTTAAATTTAATGGAATAATAAAACAAAAAGATAAAGAATAATTTTTTAATTAATAATACATCAGTACATCTTATTTTAGATGAAAATAAAGAAAAGTTAGATAATATAAAGGTAAAATTCTTTTCATTAAATATTACCACTAAATTTCAGTTCTATAATGCTAAAATAATTTATTCTTTGAAATGTCATTATAAACACCTTTTAATTTTGAATAGGATTAATATATATGATAATATATAAAATGGTATTATAAAAAAACTTGTAGATTATACTATTTATGATGCTTTATAAAATATGAAAAATATGACTAAAGTATGATCAACAGTATTTTCTTAAATAATCTTATACTATTAGAAGAAAACAGGTATCCTTTCTAAAACTAGAGAAATTTCTGATAATAATTAATGATAGGTATATAAATTATATAAATATAATCTTTTAAAAATATTTTTAGTTAATGATAATTTTTGTAAAATTCTAATATACTAGCCTTGATATAAAAATTAATGAATTTGAAATGGTAATTTCTCTGCTTTTAAATAATGATCTTAATGCATATGAATACTTTTATATTGAGAATAAGATTTTAGAAGAGGGTTTATAGATTTAAAATAGTTAATATTATATGAAATACAAATAAAGAAGAAGATATAGCAGATGAGAATTAATTTATACCTATATTAAAAAAGGTAACTCTAATAAAAGCAGAAAAAGCTAAGATAAAACTAAAAAAATTTTATATGAATAAGGACTAGAATTTAGGGATGTAAATAAAAAGTTAAAAGTTTTAAAAAAATTATATAAAAAAGTAAAATTATTAGCTATAAAAAATCTTATACAGATCAACCTTTATTATTTTTAATATAATACTAATATTTAAATAAATTATTGTAATATATTACGTATTTAATGCATTTTAAATATGATTGTCATATGGTAAATTTATATATAGTTTAAATTTTATTAGATAAATTTATATATTGAATAGTTTAATATATAATATGAATATTATATATTGAATTTATTATATACTAAACTAAATCTATTAGAATAGCTAGTTCGTTATATTTAGTAGTAACTGTAATTATTAATTTATATAATGATTTAGATTTATTATCAAAAAATATTAGCTTATATTAAAAAAAATTTGAAAATTTTTTATTTATATCAGTATTTATATAGGCTCTTTATAATAGAAAGAAAAGAAACTACCAAAAAAATTTTTTTTTACTTTATAAGTTAAATATTATTATTTTTTTAACAAAATAAGTCCAAATTTAATATTAATTCAAAAAAAATTTTTTTGGTAGTTTACTTCCTTTCTATTGCAAAGAGTCTATATAATAATTAATTAAATACAAAAAAATTAAATCTTTAAATCACTTTTTTTTGAATTATTAATTATTATTTCAGGTAATCTAAATATTTTAGTGAATATTTTTAAGTATAAAATAAGAGATTAATAATAAGCTTTCTTTTGAAAAAAATAAAAAAAATATATTTTAGGATATATAAAAAGCAAAGATTATTAGTAAAAAGATAGATTATATTTTTTTAAAATAGATGACATTAAGTTATAAGTTAAATTGAAAATAGAGAAAAGTAAAAATATATTTTTTTACAAATACAAAATCATTTTTAATATTAATCTACAATTTTATCTATAAGTTTTTACTATTAATTTCATAATATAAAATCAGCTCAATATTATTATTTATATAATTAAAAATAATAGATTAAATACATTATTATATATAATAATTACTTAATTCTTAGAAAAGATAATATTATTTAATATATTTATAATTTTTTTAGTAAAAAGAAAAAACTTTTCTCAATTCTTTATTTTATTGTAAAAGTAATAAGATCAATTTATCAATTTTTATATTCTTTTTAATTATAACTTTATTTAAAAAAGTAAGTTAGAATTTATATTATTTTCTAATTATTACTTAATTGAATAAAACAAGATTTCTTATTTTATCAAAAATCTTATTATATTTAGCTTTTAGATATTTATATTTCTTATCTAGCTGAAATTTAATAATATTTTTTTTTATCTGTTTATCAAACTCATTTGATTATAATAAAGCACTAGAATTATCTAAAGTAAAGTTAATATTTATCTTAAAGTATTGATGTCTTTTTTTTCTTATATTATTTATTAACCTTTTTTGTAAGCATAAACTCAATATCAGAATAAATTCTATTTGCTTATTTTTTTATTAATAGATTTTTTTTAGATTATAAAGTGTTTTTATATAATATTTTTATATATAATAATTTGTCTAATTTAATCTTATAATGATCATTAATATATAATTTGCTTATTGTTATAAGATTGATATTACTGGTTTAGGAAAATTTTGCCAAAATTTTATAATAGTTAAATTCTTAAAACAAAATATTAAAAAGTATATAGTAATGTACATAATAATATTATAAATTTCTATATTAATATTTATTAAAAGTACTAAGATAATACTTTAAATTTTTGATTTGATTATTTAACTAAAGATAGTGAAAACCTTTTTATGAACTATATGGGAGTGTTTCTAGGAAAATCAGGTTCCGAGAAATTTTTGACTAAAATTAAGAGCTTAATACATTTTAATCTAATAACATCAAAAACTAAAATGCAATAAAAATCTCAATTTTGCTAAAAAATTCCCGGAACCTGATTTTCCTAGCAATCAACCCATATATGTCATCTCAGAAACTCAAATTCAAGTACTACATATAGGATATCTTGAAGGCTAATTCAAAGTACTAAATAATACATTCCTAAAATATTTATGCTTTTATTCGATGTAAAAATGATTATTTATACTTTATTAATATTCTTGTTATAAGTTTTCAATAATATATTATAAATTTAAAATTTGTTTAATCAAAATTAATAAGATTAAAAATAACAAAAAGAAATAATATAATACCTAAGACGAAAACAAAAGTAATAAAAAACGAAAAAATAACAATCATTTCATAATATATTATCGAATTAGGAAATGATCGGTAAATTAATCACATGACTGTAGAACTAATATTTAACGGTATATTATCATCCTCCTCCGCATCCTCCGCATCCTCCGCAACCTCCGCAACCACCACCACATCCTCCACAACCTACTGCATCCTCCACAACTATGCATCCTTCGCAACTACTGTATTCTCCACACCCACCGCAATCACCACCTTCACCCGTGAACCCAACAACTCCACATGTTTCAGAGTATCTACAAATGGATAAAAATATTTTAAATATGTTAAAAAATAGATCAAAGAACAAGTTTACAAACTCGAACTCAAAATTGTCATTAGTACCCGTACCTCTTTTCATCTTTTTTGTCGGTCTGAGAATTGTTTTTATCTGATGTTTCTATGTTGGAATCACGTAGGTTTTCTTTGGTAGCATTTTCTTTTTTATATTTTTTCAATTGATAAAGAACTGAAAGGCCATAAGGTGGTATAATAACCGACAAGATCTTTTTTTTGGTGGTTAACCGATATTTTGATGGGTTCACGTGCGTATATGGTTCATTATACTTCTTATACCAAGCTTGAGCTGTACTTGCAAACCCGTCTGACAATTTTCCCTTATCCAAAGTATCATTATGGTTAACGAGTCGACCTAAATGTTTCTGAGTGAACGCACGATAAAGTGAAGCATGAATTTGATGCGTATGCCAACCAAGGTCAATATCAAGAGTGGGAACGAGTATAGTATTTGTTTGTTCTTTCATTAACAATAAGAATTTATGGTATCGGACGGTAGAATTGATTTGAACGTTTATACAGTTAATCCATTTATTATTAACCATCTTTCCTGTGAATTCACGTTGTCTATGAATGGCACTAATCAGCTCAATTGAGAATGGTAATTGAATTCCAGTATAAGAAAGTAAGACTCTCTGAACAATTTTCTTTCTTGCATTTTTAAGTTGTCTTTCCTTTTTCAAACCTTTTTTCTGAAGATCAATTTGTTTGATAACATATTTCCAGTTGTATCGGTTCCAATTTGTTGATCCTAAGTTTGTAAGTTTACGAATGTGAACGCTATTAGTGGAGAATAATAAATTAGAATCTTTGACTGCAGACTGTTCTGAATATGAGCCATCCTTTAAACCGATCAGAGTGCCACTAAATAAATAACGGTCTTTTTGTTAATAAACTTTAAAGTAATTTGAGAATTATAAATTTTTTATAATTACCCAATGAATTTAGTATTATCCTTATTCCAAGCTTCAATATCGTCAATAAATCTCTTGACACTTAAAGTTTCGACAGAGTATGGCGCTTGACATTTTGGGCATTTTTCTTTTGTCTTAGTAGATCTCATCACATTCACATACTTATTCCTATATAATCCAGTATCTGGATTATTAAAATTATATGGATTGAAAATATAGGATTAAGAATTAAATATTTCTCACCATGGAATTTTCACCTCTTTTTTACACCAAGGACAATTAATCTTGAAATCGGAACTGTCTGTCGGATCAAGAATCCATGGTTGTTTGGTGTTTTCCACCCAAATTCTTTCGGATTCAGGATCGACATGACCGCCATTTTTTTCCCAAATATCATGCTGATAAAAGGAATATAATTTGGTATTCCATTGAAATGTATTGAAAAAAAAGTAAGATAAACATTTACCAATCGTTTCAGTGGAAAATCTGGAAATGTTTGTTTAGGATCATAAATTCGACGCATATCTTCATAGTATCTTAGTGGCGAAAGCAAATGGGAATGCCATATATAGCAAACGTCTAAATTTTTTACAAAAAGAAGTTATTAGGGTTTAATTTTTCTTCTTCCCGTTCACCTACCTATGGGCGGAATCGGCATTGTCCTCTCGTCAAAATTTTTACCGCTGAGTAAATATAACCACAACACATAACGCTCCTGCGCACGTAACAAATATCTTGTATCAATCTGTTTGTTCGGTTGTTCCAATGCCTTGAATTTCGCCAAGAGCGCTAAATGTGCACGCAACATAGCCGGATTCACGACACCATCAACATTGACGGCTCCAGTTGGAATGGTGTCGAACGCAGTTTTATCATATGTAGGTGGGTTTTCGTTCCTTTCAGCCATTAAGAAATTGATAGCTTCCAAGCTGGTAAAACGGGTTTTAAAACATATTTAACCGGTTACCTTTGCTCAGTCATATCTAGTTCGAGACTGAGAATTTAACATGAATTTATTATTCAAGGTTAATATTGCCTCTTTGTTTGCATAAATTTGAGATCATAAAGCGTTCATTAAAGTTGTTTGTGCGTAATCTAAATAGCTCCATTGTAATATCAAAACAAGTTAAATTACGTTTTTTATTTGTTTTAATATGTATGCTTTTTACTTATTATCCGTAATGTAACTAGGGATCTATGCAATTGCATAATTATGCATCCTTATGTTAGTGCGCATAATCCGCAGTCAATTGGCTGCTAATATCATACGCTGGACATGTGGCACGCAGATCATTTTCATGTTAAAAATATTTGTGTACCTATAATTGAGTTACTTTACTCTATAGTTAACTATCGCAAAATCCACATATATTAATTAAGAAATTGATAGATCATCATGTGCTCAATCAATTCTAACCATTGATTTTCCTTTTAGATTACTTTTTTTTTTTTTTACATTTATGTGAAATTTTCGCTTTAAAATAAGTTTTTTTCAAGATCTTCTTTCAAGTAGATACAAATATACAACTTTAACAATAAAAATATATGTAATTTTATGGGAGGAAGAATATTCTCTTAGGTTGTAGAGTGTATTATTCAGTTTGATTTTATGTAAAATACAAAAAATCGATTTTTTAAATAAAAAAATGAATTTTTATATTATAAAAATTTTATGATGAGAAGTTTTTAATAAATACTTTGAATTTAAATACAATTTGGCAGAAATAATAACTTTTATTAAAGGTAAGTAATTAATGTTCTTCTTTGAATAACACTATTGAGCTAAATAAATAATATTAATAAAATACTAAAAAAATATGTAAAAATAAAAAAGATTATTAAATAATAAGAAAATAATATATTTTACTAATTTAAAATTATATATTATAGGAGATTATTGAAAAAATTTAATATTCTATATTAATATTCTATTCTAATAAAATATAAAATATCTATAATAAAAAATTTTCATTTAGTATTATTTTTTTAATTAATAAAAAAAAGTTTTTAAAATCAAAAAATTATCATTAAAATTAAATAAAAAAATACTTCTCATTAATATAACATATTTTTTATTTTAAAATTGTTTATATTACTTTTACATATTAAAATCAGCATATAATAAACAACTTGTTTAAAGAGATCTTTTTAAAATCACCAAACTGTTTAACTTTTAAATCTTACAAAAATGTTTTTGAGAAGTGAACGAATATTTTATGTAAGACAAAAATTCAAAAATGATAATAATATTACACAGTTAGCTTATACGCAAAGTCAAAAAAGTGTGAAAAATTATATAAATTTTATCAATCAAATGATCAATATCTATATAAATGTCATTTGCTATGATTGACATATACATGTTCAGTTTATAAAATGCAGTAACTTACTTTTTTCTCTACTCAAGTAGCTGCTAATTTAAAAAATGATTTATAAAGAACCTTATAGTGTAATAGGATTGGATTGATGAACGTGACGCAGTATATTGCAGATCTGAATGTTAGACATATTAGACATATTTGATATATTTGATATATTTGATAAACTGAACATATTTAATATAGTTGATATCTTTGACATATCAGACATATTAGATATATTTGATTTATTTATTATATCTGTCTATGTATTAATTTAATATAAATAGAGAGTAATAAAATCATGTAAACTTAAGTTCGATTATAGTTCACTTTTAGTTTTTCCTTTAATTTGCTTTTAGATACACATCTAGCAGTTCTTATAGAGGTGCCTGGCCTAACATTCCAATTAGTATTTAACTCTCTTGATTTCTCTTATTCTTTCTTATTTTCTTATTTCATATATTATTATCATCTTATTTCTTATTTTTATTAATTATCGTCAATAAACATATTATTACACCTCTGAATCAATTGAGCTATTTTACTTTTCATCTTATCAAAAGTACACTGCTGTACAAATTATAAACTTGAGTTAAACTGAGATTAAGTCGCTACGTAAACTTAAAAGAATCATCACTTGAACATCCTGTCTAACTGTCGCAATTTGCAAAGATTACACATTAATAATAGAAACATTTGCAATAGCAAATGTTCTTCTTAAAAAAGTTAATTCTTTATTTTCATTTTTTTAAAAAATATATTAAATAGAGATTCTATTCCTTAAGCTTCTATTCTTAGATAAATTTACCTATCTAATATTTTTGACAAGTATTATTAATCTCTTAAGCTATTATTGATTCAAAATCAGTGACTAGAATTATAGGTAAAATTACTAATAATTGTATATGTAATGTTATCAATATACCTTTTGCTATTATAATGAAACAAAATTAGTTTTGATTAATTTTCTTAAACGTATTAATAATACTATGATAGAACAGATTTTTATAACAATTTTTACTCATTTCAAAATATCTTTTAATTTGTCACATTTATTTCTTTTGGCTTTAGCCACTTATATAAAAAAATGCTACCATAATATCTTATTGCATTAATACTTTAATTAATTTATATATCATATATACATATATTTTAAATCTTATAGGATAAGTTTTTTCAATTCCTTTTTATCAAAAAATTGAAATTTATGCATATAATTTATATAGATATTAAAAAAAGTATTTTTATAATATTTAGTTTTAAAAGAAGGATTAAATTAAATTTAAGTATATTGTCACCGTAGAATTCTTCAACTCGAGGTGGTCACATTATCAAGTCTCTACTCAAAATTTCTTAACTACGGCTTACTGCGGTTAAGACGTTAGGATCCGCCTAACTCTTAACTTTACCAAATCTACGCGTTGAACTTAAACAAATCTATCAAGTATGAAG